AGCACTGCTGGGGGGCTGCTGAGAGGGGCAAAGGGGCCCTGAGCCCTCCCTCCCTGGCTGCTTTCAGGTGACAGATAGGGCTGGCAGCCCCCACTGAACCTGCCTATCTTGTCCTCACAAAAATGCATGTTTCTCCCTGCAGGGAGACCCCTTGCTTAGGGCACAGTGAGCCTCTGCCACCTCTGCCAGGGCCACACAGTGCCACCCTCCCCAAGATGCTGCCAGCCTGGTCACCCTCGCCACCAGCCACCCCAGAGCAGGGTGCTGGCTCTGCCCCGCTGCCCTTGATGTGGGAGCATTTGCTGCCTGCTGCCCTGACAGAGGCCGGCTGAGTGGGTGGGAGTCCACGCCCCGTCCTTGACAGCACTGTCACCAGCAGGAGCAGGCTGTACCCAGCAGCCAGGGAGACCTTATCTGCCCCTCAAGACCTCAGCGTGGGATGCCATCGAGAGGCTCCCGGCCACCCAACGACTGCGCTCCACCAACCACAGTGACAGTCACAGCCCCAAGCACCACACATTTGGCCAAGTCTGAGCTCCCGCGCCTGTATCCACACGGCCACCATGGCAGGATGGCTGAAGCAGCCCCAGCAGGAAGGACTGATCCTGCTCATGGCTCTACGGCACTCCTGAGTCCCGACAACTCCTCTGGCATGGGGGTCTGCAGACATCCTCTGAGTGTGGCACGGAGCATTGGCCTCTGCCACCCACTACCACGCGTGAGCACCTGGCAGATGTACCAGCATCTCCAGGAAAAACAGGTCAGAAGTAGCTCCTCCCAGCAAATTCAGGCTCTTTCTGCAGCCCTGGCCACTCTCCCAGCCCGGCTGTGGCCACAGCAGCAAAGTGCCCCCAAGGGGCGATCGCTTTTCGCAAAACCTCAGATCAATAACAGCCTTTCCAAAGGCCAAGAGGAGGGAGAGGGAGGATTTATTCCTCCCCAGCCTTTGGGCATCATTCAGAGCCACTCTGCTGGCTGACACAGACTGCGCGGGTGGCTGCAGCGCCCTGCTCTGTCACCCAGAGCAGGAGTCTGTCCCACTACCCGGCGTGGTGTGGGCACAGCTCACTGTGCCCCAGGGCAGAGCAGCCACCAGCAGCCATCTCCCACAGGTGCCCCTACCTGGACTCAGCACTGCCCACCCACACAACACTTGGCATGGCACAGTGGTCACCCTCACACCCTCACAACAACAGCACCAACCCCTCCACCAGCCCTGCCAGCAGAGATGCCCAGCAGGCATGGCCACCACCCCACCACAGCTCTCCCAGGCTTGTCCTGTGCCTCTTCCTCCGTGCTTCCATCCTCATGCCCCCATGCCCATGTCCCCATGCCATGCTCACCTTGGATGAGGCCACTGGCAGCACCGGGGATGCCCTCGATCTCGGTGACATTGTTCATGGTGAAGTACTCATCGCAGGTGGCGTTCAGGAAGCGGGAGGTGCAGAAGAGCTCCCAGAGCTTGGAACCCACCGTCTCGTTCCCCTCCACCACCGTCTTGGTGCAGAGGTCGAAGCCGTGGCGCGAGAGGGTCCTGTTGCCCAGGAGGCAGATCCTGGGGGGACACAGGCACTCAGCCGTGCGCCTGCGTGCCCCGGCCCCACCGCAGCCCTGTGGGACCCCATACTCACGGGAAGCTTGGCGGGTCGAAGGCTGATTTGATGACACCGGCATAGATGGCAAGGATGGAGAGGATGACACAGCCCAGGAAGACCAGGGCAAACTTGTTGACGTACTTGACTCCCACGAACACGACGGTGGCCATGCAGGTCAGCACACAGGTGCCGTACACACGCATGTTGTTGAGCATCGCGGCTGCCTCCCCGCTGGCGTCCTCTGCCTTGAAGATGGCCATGGCTGGGAAAATGTAGGCCTGGGAGAGAGTCATGGCATCACTGCCCGGCTAACAGCCTGCAGGGGGGACCCTGGGGAAAGGTCCCTCGGCCCCCTTGCAAAGCCTCAGTACCCTGATGTGCCATGAGGACTGGGCACCATGTGCAGGCGAGGGCAGAGCCACCCTGCCAAGAGCTGAGCCCTTGGCACTGTGTGGGGCAAGGACCAGGCACCTACCAGCAGGATTTCGATGGTGCCCAGGATATACATGGCGCCGGCAAAGGTGGTGCCCAGGTAAAAGCAGAGCCCCACGGCCCCTCCAAACTCAGGTCCCAGGGAGCGTGAGATCATGTAGTACGAGCCACCCGCTGCCAGAGAGAGCAAAAGTCGGTCCCAGCCAGACCCCAGTGGCAACCCCAGCCCTGTCAGGTATCCCAGAGGGCAGATTGGAGCCAGGGCAGCCCTGGGCCCGGCTCCAGCACTGAGCAGGATGCAGTCCCCAGGGCCCCAGAGCAGTAGGAGTGATCACACTGCCAGAGTCATTTCCCAGGAGCCCAGCTGCCAGGTGCAAAGGGATGACCAAAGGGACATGTGTCCCCTGGACACCAGACAGGAACTGGATCCCCAGAGACCTGGGCCAGGCCCTGCTCCGTCCTCCCAGAGGAGCTCTTAGAGCTGGGCTGCCGGGATCGATGGTCCCGCTGCGGCAGCAGGATGATAAATAGCTTTAATTACACCCTGCGCTGGGCTGTCAGTGCCGTGCCCAGCCCGGAGCAGCTCCCGGCTCCCCAGGGATCTGCAGGGCTGGGCGTGCTCTGGGGGAGGCATCCAGGGCACCCGCTGGACGGACCCAGCGGTGCCTCCCGGGAGGGACAGAGCCCACACACCGCAGCGTCCCTGTGTCCGACGGCGGGAGACACCACCCCACCGCCCAGCCCATGGCACCCAGCACGCCCGGCTCCCATCCTCCCGCCGCGTGTCTCCCGGCTCCCCCCGGCCTCGCCAGTCTGGCGGAGGGAGGAGCCGCGGCTGGCGGCTCTCGCTGCATCTGCACCTTCGCGGCTCTGGGGACGGGGTGGCGCTTCAAGGCTGCGCTCCCGGGCCGTGGGATCGCGCGGCTGGTTGGAGGAGGCTGGGGAGGGCTGGTGCCGGGGGGATGCTCTCTGGGGAGAAGTTCCCGCAGGCACCGACCGAAAGGGAAGCAGCTCCCCGCGCGCACGGCAGCACGCACGGAACACGGGCTTGTCTGTACTGGACACGCGTTGGTGGGCGATCGCGCCTCATGGAAATGGCGTCAGCAATCGTCTGCAGGACGAACACGTGTGGGCACCTGGGCAAAGTTGGGCGAGGGACAGGGGAGTGGAAGGGAGAACGGGCTGTGAGGGGACATGGGGCTCCCCGGGGCCACGATGAGATGTGCCACAGGGTGGGGTTGCCCAGGGAGGATGGATGGACAGACATGTGGGTAGATGGGCAGTCAGGGCTGCTGGCCGGCAGCGCAGCTGCAGGGGCCGAACCCCTTGGAGGGACAGGCAGTGCCACGGGGGACCTCAGGCTGCACAGGACACTGCCCAAGGCCAGCCCACTCAGCCTCTGCTCTGGGGTGACTGTCCTGGCAGGATGGCTCACTGCAGCACAGCAAGGTGCCAGGGTAGGGGACCCCCAGCACATCCCCCTGCATGGCAGCTACGATCTGGGTCACTGCTTGAGCACTGGTCCACTGCTGATTCCTCTGGGAAGCTGAAGGCTTCTCCTTGCTCTAAGTGGGGCGAGAGCTAGAGCAGGGGCAGGGGCAGGGCAGGGCAAGGTGGGCTGGCAGATATTGCACCTCTCCACAGCCCAGTCAGAAAGACTGGTGACCACCAGATCCCAGGCGGGGCCAACAGGGGCACATCTGGCTCTGAAACTCACGCAGGAGCAGCAAAGGAAGACCATGCAGAAGGACTCCATGATGCCGGCGATCCCCACCACCCAGGTGAGGCGCAGGAAGAGGATGACTCCAAAGATGTTCTGGAGGCAGGGCAGGTAGACGCCCATGAAGGTGCCCATCCGCGGGGCCTGTCGAGGGAACAGCAGCCATCAGGGCTCACGGGCCTGGCTGGCAGAGGAGCAAAGGGTCCTGCTCCTCCTGCAAAGCAGCCAGGGATCCCAGGTGAAACACCCCGATCAAGGCCAAGGGACCCTCTGCCCCCAGGGCAGCCTGTGGCCCAGCACTGCACAGGCAGGGGCTGGGGAAGAGGCCGTGTCCCTCCCTAGTCCTCACCTGCACCGGCTTCTTCTTGCCCCCATCATTGTTCTCAGCCTCCTCGTGCTCCCGGCTGCCCTGTGGTAGGTTGGTGTAGTTGGCCAGCCCACTCAGCAGGGACGAGACCATGGGACTGGTGTCCATCTCCTCCTGTGGAGAACAGAGCCCCGAGCTGTGAGGACAGTTCCTGGGGACCCCAGGCAGCCCCAGGACCCGGAAACCTCACCAGAAGCCACCCCACATGCCCACCCTGCACTGGGCATGTCCCAGTGCCAGAGTGCAGGTCAGGGTGCTGCAGGACAGCTGCCCAGCTTGGCCCCCTCCCCAGCATCCTCCCTGCCCCAGTGCCTGCACTCCCTACCTCGAAAAGTGCCATGTTCTTGCCATCGTACTCTTTGCCCTTCTCCAGGTCCGTGCTGTTGATGAAGGGGCTGCTCTCCTTGGGATTGCCATCGCCTGCAGAGACACCACTGGGTCAGTCAGGCAGCCCCTGCCCCTGCCCACATCAGGAGAACCTCCACCATTCAAGGTCACTGCTGCGAGAGGTCACAGACGCCCACAGCTCCCACAGGAGGGCTGACAGAGCTGCGGGCACCATGTTGGCACCCAGTCCCGGCACAGGCAATGGCAGCCCCAGCGTCCCAACCTCCAGCATCCCCTCCCACACCACACGCGGGCACGGGCCGCTGTCCCCAGGAGCCACGTGCTGCCCTGCCCAGCTGTGCTGACACGCAGACCCGCCGGAGCGCATCCACGCACTGAGGCAGGCGGACTGGATCCAGGGGGAACCCTCCGGCGGGACAGCTGGAAGCAATAATTCATGGCACCAGGTGCCCGTGGGTGAGCACGCCGGGGCTGCCCGCAGCACTGTGTCGGCAGGGACAGGATCCGGCCGGCTGCTCAGCGCCAGAGCAGAGGGGATG